GTTAATTACAGCTACTTGTAAAGGGACTGTGGGTACCATATCCTGACAATAAAGAAAGATTAATCGTATCCAGTAAAGAAGTGCCAATTAAGGGTACAACTTCTTTAAGCAGCCTAGTTGGGATTGGATCTAACAGACAGGTTGATGGCTTCGATGTAGAAATTATTGAAGTTAGTTGATGAAGATTGATAGCAGACAAACAGTCTATATATCTGATTTTACATTTGTTAAAGTTCCTGAACTTGGAGAGACAGCGATACCTGTTGAGGGCATTTGGTTATTAATTTTGTCTCTAATAGTAATAATTTTTATCAAAAAAGAAGCTCAAAAAGTCGTTTGTACTGAGGGTTATGGGGATGGGAATTTATCAAAAAGGAAATGTCTAAAACCACATTTGCCTCACTTTATTCAGATGGCCGAGTATTTGTAACATTTCAACAGCTTATTAGATTCAACAACTGTTACAAAACCATCTCTAGGGGGACCATCCAAATTAAGTGTTACTGTGACATTTGTCTATGTGAAATGTTTTATTTTTAATGTTTCACACGTGATAAATACACTAATACTTTATTTGTCCAAAACAAATTTTGGATACTTTGTGGTTTATTTTATCCTATTCAATTTAAGTGACAAGTGTTATAAAAGAAGGTAGACAGGATCGGTTTTGTGCAAATCAATTTAAAGCCATTTTTAAATCCAAGTTATGATGTGTTTCATTAGGAATTGCATTACTAAGACATTTGTTTAATTAGTCATAATTTGTACTCATTGTCTGAAGAGACTATTTTTAAATGACGATGAAGGACGAGGTTTTACTGTACCTTACTTTACTACAAAGTGAAAGACTGAAAAAAAAATCACTGTAGAGTTTTACCAGTAATATGACCTTGACCTGATGCATAACAACCATCTCCTTTTACTTTCCATTATCTTCCAACACATTCTGTCATCTTTACACCAACCACCAGGCTACAGCTATTATTATTCCAGCTAAATATCATACTTTAAATGCCCTAATTAAAACTGTGTTGCTTCGTCTCTTTAATTTGATGGTGCTGATTGAATCTGGGTGGCAGTAAGTACCACTGTCTGTAAAACCCTGGGGAAGTTTTCTATTAGACAATCTCTGGCTTCTTTCTCTCCACTATGGCTCTTGGAGGTCATTCTCTCTTTTTCAATTAACACCCTGGTATTAAAATGTACTGTTGCTCCATAATGGCTGATGACAACGTCTCATCTACGGAGAATACACCGGCAGTGTAGAGTAGGTCTGTTTCGACATGTTAGAGTTCTCTCATTGCTTTTGTGCTGTCAAGGCCTGTTGAATGTTTCTCTATATTTGTATGAAGCTCTCCCTGCTGTGATGGTTTTGCATGCTACGTCACACAGATCATCTGTCAATCAAACAGTTTGGAAGGTTTTGTGCTGTTCTCTCTCTGGGATTTTCTGTTCAATCTTTCCCATTAGCAAACTCAGGCTGTTTGTGGGGCAGGAGCAGAAAAAATAAAAAGGTCACCAGCCTGCAGAAAGTTGTGATGCATTTATTGTGAAACTGATTAGGTTGCAATTAGCAATTAGGCTTGCCAAAGCTTAACAGGGGTCGCAAGGCCATCTTGGTTTTAAGGGGTGTGAGAAAACTGTAAAAATATAAAAAATATAAAATCTTTTCAGCATTTCATTAATTTTTGCGACTAAAACTAAATAAAACTTGTTATTTTTTAAATTGACATCATATTTTAAGATTGAAACTTTGAATACCTGAACACAAGCAATATTCACAGAGCCTTCACTCTCTGATAAACAGCCTTGTCCTGCATTAGAAGACCTAATAGAACAATGAGATGGAAACACTGAATTTGATGAGATGGAAACACTGAATTTGTCAACAAAAGAAGCCTATTGCATGATTGTTAAAAATAAAAAAATATGTAATACAGACTGATAATTGTATAAAATAAATAATAAAATAATAATAATAATAAAATATTAGGGAAACTCACAGGAGTTTATATTCACAGGAAATGATCTGCTCAAAATTCATCCAAATGGCTTGTTTTACACAAACTTCCTGCAGTTATTGTGTTCACTGCACAGTTTATCAGTTGTTCTCTACCGTTATTGTTATGCATTGACTATAGTATTAAACATCAATAAAATATGTCACTTAGTCAGTTTACTTAATGATAGAAAAGGGGTCCCTTAAGGAAAAAGGTTGAAACCAGTGTGATGGAGGATATTTGGAGGGCTGATAGGACCCTCTTGTTCTGATCAATGAGTTCTTCTTACTTCTGTGTGGCTGGGTTTAAATTAATGAGTGTACACATAGAAGCATTAGACACTTTAAACTCTAAAACTAGACACAAGGTAAGGGGGACACATTAGTGACAAAATAACAACACATTCAATTTAATCCATTTTTATATTCAGCAATAATAATAGAGCTCCTGATTCGTGGCTCTGGTGTTCTTCTTAAAGGGACACTTTGCCCATTTGCATTAAGCTTTGTATCATTAGAAGCCCAGTCATATTTTTGAATGGTCGTGCATCATTCCCTCACTTCACCGGAGAGGGGAGAAATACGGATTT